ATCACACTGATCTGATCTGAGATGTTGCCTTCAGCAAACCTCACGGTGTTTGTATATAGTTCAGCGGAGAAAAGGATTAAAAAAAGACAAAAAAAAAAAAGACCAAAAAAAAGTAGAAAAAAGAGAAAAATGAGGAAAAAAAAAAAACAAGACAAACAACGGCCTGCTGTTTGAAACACCACTCTGCTTTTTCCATTTTGTTCTTCCATCTCCTGTCTGCCCCCACCCACACTCAGGGTGCTGGGGTGGGGGGGGGTGAGGGGTGCTTGGCCAGGCCAGTGGGGCACCCACCGGGCTGGCTCGGCCCCCCCGCTCCTGAACCCCAAACCCTGACTCATTGCACCCACCACCCTCACACTCCATGGGGTGCTGGCACTGCTGGGCTGGGGACACCTGGTCCTGCTTGTGAGGACCCCCAGAACCCACCCTCCTGCCTCTGCTTGGCCTCGCCAGCACCCCTCTGCAGCTCCTCGTGCGGGGGGCTTTGCTCCCCGGGCTTGTGCTGAACCCCATGATTTTGGGTACAAACCCCACGGCTCTGGGTGCTGAACCCCACAGCTTTGGGTGCAAACCCCAGGATCTGGGTGCAAATCCCATGGCTCTGGGTTCTGAACCGGAGGAGGAGGAGGAGGAAGCATTTGCCTCCTCCCTCCACATGGCCCTGGCTCACCCCTCACTGCCCTGGGTTTGCTGGGCTCCCTTGGCTTTTGCTTCCCTTCCTGGCTGCCTTGGTGGATCTGGGGGGCTGCCCAGTACTGGGGTGACCCCCTGTCCTTGTCCCCAGGCTGCACACTCCAGCCTTTTGTCACCCGCACACTGACACAGGCAGCAAATAACCAACCCAGGGCAAACCCACCCCAAATCCCATCTTAAAAACAGCCACCAGCCACCCCTCAACTCCAGAGCATCCTACAAAGGGGAGCACAATGCTGGCCCCATCTGTGTCCCCTGCAGAGCCAGCGCCTCGTGTCCCCACCACCTCTCGTGTTCCCTCCATCCCACCCATCTCTCACCCCAAGGTTTGCTGGCCACACAATGTCTGTCATTTCAGCAGCTGCCTCGGACACAGGAGCGAAAAACACAAAAAAGGAGGTGAGAAAAATAAAAAAAAAAAAAGGGAGAAATAATAATAAAAAATAATTAATTTAAAGATAAAAAAAAAATAAAAATCCCGGTGTCCTTGGCAGTGTTGCCTGAAATCTGGCTATTTTTAGTGACATCTTGTACATATGACTGTAAAATGGTAAACCGTGTGTATTATATATTGCCTCATTATATAGTGTATATATATGTATACATATACATATATATAATATATATGAAGACTGTAAATGTTAAGACTAGTGTTCTTATTAGTATATTGCTTCACACTGAAGATTGTGTGTAACAAGCTGTTTCTAAAAGATGTTTATTTTCCTTAAGAGTAAAAAACAGGTCATTGCATTCAGAGCGTCAATAAAGATACAACGATTGTTTTGGAAGTACGTGGCGCCCTGCTCGTGGCCTCTCTTTATCTCTGGGGGGCTGGTGGGGTCCCCTCCGGGCTGTGCCAGCCCCTGGCTGGTCCTTCATCCCCGAGGGTCCCACTGGTGTGGGGGGGTATGGAGGTGGAGGGGGCAGCACCCCCCAGGACATCATGGGTTAAGGAGGGAGTGTTTGGGGTCCCTTCGCACCCAGTGTCCCCATCCCTGCCACAGATTGCCCCCCCATCCCATCAGCCCTGTGGGAACAAGGCAACCCCAGCTGTAGGGAGTCCCTTGCCCTCTAATTTTAGTGTCAGCCCCTCCCAAATCCAGCACACACCGGTATAAATAATCAGCTTTAATTGTCTGTACAAAACTCTCCAACTATGAAAATACCGTTTAAAAAGGGAAAAGGGGAGCGGGGGGAGCCAAGGGAAGGGGGGGTCTATATACAAGAGGGATGAAGCAAGGGCACAGGGGCACCCACCAGCCCCCCAGGAGCCCCATGCCACCCTGCCATCCCTTCTCCAAAAGCCTGTCCATGCTCAGGGGTGGTGGCAGCTCCTAATGGGGCGACTAGTCAGTGCTAGGGGTGGGGATAGGGTGGGTGGTGGGAGTCCCCTCTTGCCTACCATTGGTGTGGTTGGGGAGAGGTCGCTTTGCTGCTGCCATGGGGCCAAACCTACCCCTCACAGTGGGGGCAAAGACCCAAAAACAAGGGGTGCTGCAGCAGTGGGATCCATGGTGGGCCGGGCAGGGTCCCCATCCTGCGCGTTGGGACGTACAGGGGACACAGGGGGGTACAGGTGGCACTGGAGGGTACAGGTGACACCAGGGGGTACAGGTGACACGGGGGGTACAGGTGACACCGGGGGCAGCTGCTGAGCGTCCCGTGCCCTGCAATACTGTGACAGTGTCACTAGAGGTCTCCACGCCCCGTCCCCCACGCGGGCTGGGGACACAGACACGGCCGTGGGGTGGGGAGCCCACCCGGGGTACCCCAC